GTCATATGATTGTTGGGTTTTTCTCTGTATGTATTATTGTAGGGTCTACCTTACAATAGAAAGCGCCTTGAGGCAACTGTTGTTGTGATTTGGTGCTATATAAATAAAATTGAATTTAAACTGAATTAAAAATTAGTTGAAAATATATTTTCTCCAATCTGGGTAATATGAACTTTTTCATCGTACTTTAATTTTCATTACTGATTAAGCACATTTTATAATAAATATTCCCATTACGGATGAGTTCATGAACAATGTTACGCCCTTTGTTATATAACTGCTGCCCTAAACTGTGATTGAAAGAGCAGTGACAACAGCTCTTAGATTCTCTCCACACAACTGACCCTGTGAAATCATTTGACCCCAGTCTCAAATGATTTCACAGGCTTTTGTTGTGCAAACTTCCAATACACTCAACAATGTTTTTAATATACTAATCTTTCTTTGCATCTGTACCTGCTCCACCTGCCAATCTGAAGTTATTTTCTGATTAGAGAGCGAAGATCTCTCCCCACCACCCTTTTGTTTGATCAAACTGTGTTTCTGTTTTTGTGAGAGCGCATGTGTGGTCAGCTTGAATTGGTGGCCAGACCCTGTCACACAAATTCCTTTTCATTCAGCTCAAAAAGAAAGAAAGAGAGGAAGACAAAAAAGGGTGAAAGTAAGAGTGAGAGAGAGAGAGTGAGTTAGAGGCTGGGGAGAAGGGAGGAGAAAGGGGGAGAGGGAGAAAGCCAAGAGACATTTGTAGTTGAGTGGACGAGCACAGACAATCCCTGGCACACAGCTTTTTGAGTGTCATGTAAACCACCCCTTCGCTCTCCCTTTTTGTCCCATTCACTGCCTGCCACCCTCCCTTCTCTCTGCCCCACCCTGTGGTCTCTCTGCTTTGGTCTTGGGGGGGTTGGTTGCCTGGCTGTATAAAAGCCCTGTTTGTGCCCAGAACGAGCTCCATTCCCCAACATGGAGAGTCAGAGAATCCAGTCCTCGTACAGGAAGCGTTTTGGGCCCCAGAGCTCGAGCAGCTCTGGAGTCAGAATTGGTGGCCTTTCTTCTAGCCGCCTCTCCTGGCATGGCACCCCTCGCAATGTCACCCACTCCAGTCCTGTGTCGCGGATCTCCCTGGGCTCAAGCAGCACAGCCCTGCTGCTGGGGAGCCCTGTTGACCGGCTGGACTTCTCAGCTGACTCTCTGTTGAAGGCCCAGTACAAGGAAACACGAACTAACGAGAAGATGGAGATGATGGGCCTGAATGATCGCTTTGCCAGTTACATAGAGAAGGTGCGCCTGCTGGAGCAGCAGAATAAGGTGCTGGTGGCAGAGCTGAACCAGCTGAAGGGGAAGGAGCCAAGCCGACTGGGAGACATCTACCAGGAGGAGCTCAGGGAGCTACGACGACAAGTGGATGGTCTCACCAACAACAAGGCTCGACTGGAGGTCGAGAGGGATAACCTGGCTGCAGATCTGGCTGCACTTAAGCAGAAGTAGGTAGCAGGGCAGGACTTCTGTGGGTGGAGGATCATGTAGATGTGATGTATGATCACACAGTAGTACCACCCATTTGTATCTCTTGTAGAGATTGCATGTGTATGTATAAGAGTAATGAAAGAAACTCCTTTTGCTTTCTTTTTACTTGAATGCACACTAATAATCAAAGACTTGATTTTTGTGATATCATTGGCATTTTGTGTTATGTTTAGGGTTACAAGCTAAAATCTAAATGAATAAACATTTTTTAAAAAGAGGGAGGAGTAGGAATAAACCCCTATGTGCTTCCTTTACTCAAATACTATAGTTTTTTAGAGTTATGTACTGAATTTCAATTTCATATTTCATATTTCAGTTAGTGTGCAGATGTTTTAGAGCCTTGTTTATGTTAAACCTTTCCATGTTCTTGATTAAAGCATAGTAGAACCTGAAACACACTCTGAAAAATATATTTGGACTGCAAAAAAACCCCCCACAAAGTGTGTTTTCTAGACAAATGCTTTTGGTTAGCTGGTCTTTGATTGGAAAACACATTCAGCTGGAGTAGATTTTATGTATTTTGGCACAAAATAAGACAAACTCTTTTCTTAGTTTTCTTTTATAATTGCCAGTTCATTTATATGCAGATTTCAGACCCGCTGGAATGCAGCCCACTGTGCTCTGCCCCAGCTTTACTACTGGATCCCTCTTTACAAACTTGATCCTCGCTGAACCCCTTGTCCCCATTGAGTGAGTGCGAAGGAATGAGGGAAACACAATGGTAGCCCAACACAAAGGGAACGGCCAGCCGGGCAGATGTTCACTAGTCCCCTGTTACTCCAAAATACTGATTCACTGCCATTGCATATGCACCTTTTTTTTAAAAAAAAAATTAGATGCATATGTGGCATGAATCTATAAGTTAATCTTGTGAATGAGTGACTTGAAGCCTCTAAAGGTTCAAAAGGTCTCTCTCACACTATATCTTCCGATTACCACGCAGCTGCTGGTCCTCTAAAAGAATGCAGCATGAATAGTGATGATTCTGGTCAGAGGTCACTTTTGTGATTCACGCTGCTCTTCTTGAAGCCTTCTATTCAGCAATCGCTCCATGAAGCCATACAGATGCTTAGAGTTCCATGTCACTGTGTGCATGGCAGATGGATTGTAGGGTGGTGCCTATCTGTGCAAGAGGCTGTGCGTACGTGCGTCCTTTTTATGTCTCTGTGTGTGTCTGCTCCATCCCGTGGGAAAGGCCTCTGGCTGCTAGATTGGAGTGAATGTGTAATGATGCGTAAGCTGCCCTTTCAGCTGAGCCCCGCACATCCCCAGCAGCATGGGGAGCAGCGGTAAAGCTGATATCACAAATCTAATCGATGTGCTTAAATATATGTTTTTAGCACTTGCACATGATACTCTGTTAGACATAAATGAGAAACTGTAAAAAAAAAAATGGAAATCCTTCCACGCTTGTTTCCTTTTTGCTGAGATGTGAAGGAGTTACTCATGCACAACAAGTTAACTCAAAATAAATGGCGTGTTTATGATTTTTTGTCTATAAAAGTATTTTGCAGAACAAACACAGGAAAGACTGGATGTTCTATTAACCTACAAAAAACAAATTTGAGTACTTTTGGTGATTTTTCTCCTTTGTGTGACTTAGACTGCAAGATGAAATCGGGCTCCGACAGGATGCAGAAAATAATCTAAATGGCTTCAGACAGGTAATTCTGTTCCCTGAAATCATCAACTAAATAATTTAGACATTCAGTATGACTGACTATCCAACTTCATCTCTCTGTGTGCTTCATTTCTTGCATAGGATGTGGATGAGGCATCTTTAAATCGTGTCCAGCTGGAGAGGAAGATTGATGCACTGCAGGACGAGATAAACTTCTTGAAGAAAATCCATGAGGAGGTAAGAATACAACTGAAGGAATAGAAGTCACGGAGGAGAAATATTAAGGCACCAATAATTGCCACTAACCGCAATCAAATCTGGACTTCCTCCTTGCAGGAACTGCGTGAGTTACAGGAGCAGATCATGGCCCAGCAGGTCCACGTCGATCTTGATGTGTCTAAACCAGACCTGACGGCTGCTCTCAGAGACATTAGGGTCCAATATGAAAACATGGCAAGTTCGAATATGCAGGAGACTGAGGAATGGTATCGATCCAAGGTGAGAAGAAATAGCTGTCTGACATAAAACACATATTGTATATGTGTGACAATTCTTTTTGTATTTCCTGTGAAAATTGAAAATAAATGCACAAAGATAAAGATATTGTTTCACAGCTAATAAGCTAATGCACACACCACATACGAACGAGCTGTTTCACCTTTGTACACAGTTTGCTGACCTGACAGATGCAGCCAATAGAAATGCAGAAGCCCTCCGCCAGGCCAAGCAGGAAGCCAACGAATATCGTCGTCAGATCCAAGTGGTCACCTGTGACCTGGAGGCTCTTCGTGGCACAGTAAGTACACCAGATCCCGCAGATTACACAGACACTTTGAGTTCACAAATTACACTGCAGTCAGATGGACTTTTGGCAAACACACACTTTTTTGTTGTCTATAAAATAGCCTGTTTAAACTATAATGAAACAACAAGTGTGGAGCTGAATCACTGACTTCCCAATTTTAATTTGAAATAACATTTTCTTTCCCTTTCCCACCTACTTCTGGATCATCGGGAAGCAACTCAGAAACTCGTGAATAGTCTGGTCTTGAACTGAGATTGAAGAACAATCAGTTTTCTCTTCTTTGTCTTCTACCTGAACTCAAAGTAGCCTAATAAATCTTTTGTTTTGTTAATCCTGCATCTGTACAGTACTACCAATAATAGTGGTATGAAAAAAGCAGTTCATATAGACCAGAAACAGCAGTGGTAGATGCTGTAGAAGTAGTAAATGCAAAAGTTGTATTAGCAGGATCAGCAACAGTAGAGACAGATCGTAGTAATGGTGTAAAATTTTGCGTCAACAAGTTATCTAGGAAGAACATTAAACAAAATCTTACTTATCTACATTAAATCCTGGTGTACAGAATTTGCTCTTTCACTCCATTTATTATATGGTCTTCTCTCTTCTATTTAAGAATGAGTCACTGGAACGCCAGCTCCGGGAAATGGAGGAGCGCTGTGCCATGGAAACAGCCGGATACCAGGATACAGTGAGCCGACTGGAGGAGGAAATCCAGGCCCTGAAAGAGGAGATGGCAAGGCACCTGCAGGAGTACCAGGATCTCCTCAATGTCAAACTGGCTCTGGATATTGAGATTGCCACATACAGGAAGCTCCTGGAGGGAGAGGAGAGCAGGTGAGTTAGAGCTTGTCTGGTCAGATTTAACTATAAATCATAGTATGTGATACTGATTTTTTTTAGTCTCTTTTCTTCCAGGATCACGATTCCAGTTCAAAGCTTTTCCAACATGCAGTTTAGAGGTCAGTTTAAATTTTGAATCCTTTTTTCTTCCCTTGACTGATTAAATTGTTTTTGCTGTAGAATACCAGCAGTTAAGCTGGACAGTATTTATTGGTTAAAAAGAGATTAATCCTGTACCTGTACTCTAAACCAAATGTGAACAGAGGATAGTGTTTCAGCAGGTTTGGTCAGAGCTAATATCCTTTCACTCTCCCTGTGTTTTTTCCTTAGAAACTAACTTGGACACTAAAACTCCTGAGGCCCATGTGAAGAGAAGCATCCTGGTTCGAACTGTGGAGACCAGGGATGGGGAGGTATGTGGATGAACACAAAGAGCAACACACAGACATAGCATACCTCACTCTCCTCACCACGAATTTATTCATTTAACTTTAATTTATCTTTTTAATCTGCACACATTTCTCATTTTCCATGGCATGTCAGTGGTCTGCAGCATATGTTCTAGGAGTCATAAGGACAGAACTTGGCAAACTAACTATATTCTGCTACTGTAATCAACCAGCCACTTAGTAAACCGAGTGAATTAGTGCTTGTATAAGTCTTTCACACTACTTCAGGACGATCTGCACATTGCACCTCTAACCCATTCCCTCTGGAGGGCAATGTTGAACTCTTCTGCAGATTTTCACAGATTCACTGTGGCTCAGCACACCTGATGCCTTGTGCAACTGATACTAAAGACCCATGAGAGATTTGTTCTTTTTGTTATTTTTAACTGAGTTTTCCCCTTTTTCAGATCATTAAGGAATCAACCACTGAACACAAAGATCTTCCTTAAAGTTTCAAGACCAGCTCATCCATATTTCCTTAGTTACTACCTGGGGATTCTGAATGTGCATTATTGGATATTACTACCATTTTTATTTGTTTGTCTCCAGACACAAAAGCTACCCCCATCAAATTCACTGCATTCCTCTCTTTTCCCTCCTCCATCACCTGCTTCTTTTTATTGCAACCACAATATAACCACCGATTGTACTTAGTCTCCCTTGTCAGAATTTCTCCTGAAAGATATCTCGGTGTGGCTTTGTGTACAGCTCCACCATAAACCTGAAGTGTTTGCAGCCCAGTCACCTTACACCACCTTTAAATTTTTTCCAATAAAAACTAAGTAAGCTGTTTTAATTTTAACTTGAGCTGACAGGACAGATTTTTAGCATTGATTCCGATTAAATGACACAGAAAAGAATCATAGTGATTATGTTTAGCATGTAGCATGGTGGAGATTGATGTGCATGTGAAATGTGGCAAGTGAAATAAAGGAGGGAGTTGCAGATGCAGACACTTTAAATGGATTTAGGCAAGTAATGGCAGATATGTGTGTGTACTGCAGCTTTTGTCAGAGCATGTGAGTCTGAATTGTTGTTTTTTTCTTTTAACCCTTCGTTTGGTTTTATTTTGATTTTTCACTCCCTTTGTTCTAGTCCATACTTGTATATTACTTATTGAATGTAAAGTATAGCACACATGCATAGGTAGATACATTATATGCATCGCATTGCAATGACTGCCCAAACAAAGCTATCTCTGCTGCTCTGCGGACTTAAATCTGCACAACCAGATGGGAGTACAAATAAATGTGCAGATATACGTCATGAGGGAATAACTATGGCGACTTCTAGAGCGTTCATTCGCTCTATAAAAAGTGTAAGAGCTTGTCAGCATCAACATTTGTGTAGGGCCTCTAAAATGCCCTCCATCACTGTCCTTTCACTCCCTTGTCTCTTCTTTAGCATCCTCTGCCTCTTGAACACAACCTGATAAGGCCAGAGTTTTTTGACACCAGGATGCGTCATGACATGCCCACTTATCCAGTAGCGATAACAGGAAAAGACAGGCAAGTTTACAGGTGTGGGTACTGACACGGCTTTTGCCCTGCAGCCTCCACCAAGTGTCAGCCAGCTCCTGTATTTTAGGCTGATAGCAGAGGAAGACACAGAGACCATGCGGTTGTTATAATAACCTCACATATAAACTGTGCTGCAGTTCTGACTTTTCCTTTTTTTTCTTTTTGAATGGGAGGAATTTAGATTTTTTTTAACTGCTGGAAGCATAGATGGACATCACAGTTCAAACGCTGTAATCCAAGCCCCAACTTTTGTTGAATACCCCACAGACTGAAGCAGTGTTGACAGGACCTGCCACTAATGAGAGTGGTGCTACGCCAAAGCCGGCTGTGTCTGTACTTGTCGCCAAGGACACCATGTGTTCATGCCTAGCACCCTTTACACTGGAACTCTCACCCCCATCCCTCAGCCACTTCTCCCTTTTCCTCTAATAACACTTAGCAACTTATTTTGTTTTACTGAATGTCAAATAGAAGTTTTTGCTCCTTTGCTCTTTAGAAACCTCTGCAGGTGTGAATATAACATTAGTTTTGACCAGTGCTATGAGCTGTGATGTCATGTTAACAAAAATAAAACAATTTGTTTGCTAATCCCTCTTGTTTTTTTATAAAAAGTCTGTCCTAACAGTGTTTTCATGTTCTTTTGCCTCTCATACAAGCCTGACACATTCATACAGTATATCAGCTCTCATCACTTTCAGCTGTGTTATATATCCTGACAAGAGGGCTGACAGCAGCGGACAGATATTATTCATTGTAACTGATTGTTTCTGCCCTTCAAGCAGGCTGTACCGCTGAGCAGATGGGTTCACTTCAAGTTATGTCATGGCTCTGTGTGAGTTTCACTGTATGTATGGGCCTAGATATCATTTGTGGCCAAATATAGTATGGCTTGAGATGCATATAAACATTTCTACTGGACTGATAAACACATGATCTCAAAAAGTGAGTTTCCTACATTGTCAGAGGAGTCCTTATACGTCATTCGGGCTACAATTTGAGTTTTTAAAGGATAGATATTTGGATTTTTTAAAATTATTTTTTGGCTTTTGACTTTTATTTGCAGGCAGGAAAGAAAGCAGGGGGAAACGCAGAGCAAAGGGCCACAGACTCGACACTAGGCCACTCCATTTCAGGCACCTACACAACCATGTCTGTCTCAAACTACTCGTCAGGTGTTAAAATATAAACTTTTTTGCTCCTGAAATTATTCCTCTTATTGATACTGGCCACTAGTCACTAATTTAATTTAAAGTTTTAATGAAAGTTTAAAGATTTTTTTTAGGGATTATTTTTTGCGCATATTCACTGTTTTTGATTTTTGAAGACTTTGGTCAATTTTAAAGATACAAAATTATATAAACTTCAGATTTTTTTTTTTTTATTTTTTTTTTTATCTATTTATTTATTCATTGCACCGTATGGGGACGTTTAATTTTTTATCACTTTTTCTTTTTTAATCTCCAAACTGTTATGGAAGGATTTATTTTAGTAAGCAAAGCATGTTTTGATGTACCAACAATGGGAATAAGAGTACTGTTGTAAGACAATTTAAAAACAAAAAACAAAAAAAGCTTTGATTTACTCTTTTTAAGGAGTTGTAACAGGCTCTGAATCTGGTCTGTTAACCAACAGTTACTGAAATGGGTCAAGCTTGAGCTGCACTCCAGTCGGTGTTTTTAGTTAGAGAGTTCAAACTATACTTCGAACTTAAAGGATTTTATTTGCCTTAAATAAGGATTAACAAAAGCAGCTAAAAGGCTGAAAAGACCAAGTAATAAAAGACTTTAAATGTGATTCATTTGTTCTCCCTACTCTTGTTTGTCTTATGGTTTTGTCTGTCAAATTTATCAAGAAGTAAACTGTCTCGAAATGGTGAAAAAAAACATGTCTAAGTATGATCTGTTAAAGCAAACATTTGAGTAAATGAAGTAAATGCAATGCTTTTCAATACCTAACATGGTAAATTCAAAAAAGCTGACTGGTTTCACAGACATGAACACGGTTTTCCTCCTAAATTTAGAAAAACGTCACACCCTGCCTCACTGGCATTAGTGGTGAGTTCTTTTTCTTACCAGGTGAGTGAAAATGTGTATTAACTCTATAATGCCCTTTGTATCATATTTGATACGTGAATTTCTGAGACCTCTATCTCATCAACAAGATCAATACTTGCCATCATTTTAAAATGTTATGGACAAAACTCTTTTTTTTTTTGTCTAAAATGAACATTGTTGTTAACAAGAAGTTGCCAAAAAAGCCCAATGTTTCAAATGCAATACAAAAAATATATAATAAATATATAATTAAAATATATCACACACAACATGATACAGCAAAAGAAAAATTGTGGATTTTGCTATAAAGGTTAATAAACATCCATCAGAATTTTCTGGCTATTTTTTTATGGGTTGGGTCTTACAGGGTTAAAGTATGATCCAGTAACCGTCC